GAGGAGGGGAGGGGTCTCTCTGTGTTGCCCAGGCTGGTTTCCAACTTCTAGGATCAAGTGATCCTCCTGCCTCAGCCTCCCAAAGTGCCCGGCCCTTTATTCTCTATTTAGTGGACTACCAGAGTTTGTCCCTGAAGCAAAAGAAAACCCTTTTTTTATGAAAGGTCCTCAAAAAAATAACTCCATATATAGGTTCAGGGCCTATCAAGAATATGAACCAGGTCCAGGCGCAGTGGCTCACACCTGTAATCAACCCCAGCACTTTGGGAGGCCAAGGTGGGTGGATCACTTGAGGTCAGGAGTTTCAGACCAGTCTGGCCAACGTGGTGAAACCCCGTGTCTACTGAAAATACAAAAATTAGCCAGGCGTGGTGGCACACGCCAGTAATCCCAGTTACTCAGGAGGCTGAGACAAGACAATCACTTGAACTCGGGAGGCAGAGGTTGCAGTGAGCCGAGATCGTGCCACTGCACTCCAGTCTGGGTAACAGAGTGAGACTCCATCTCAGGAAAAAAAAAAAAGTACCAAATACTATTCCTAAGGAATATTTCACCTAATTTTATGAACTTCTCTCTTTTCCTCTTTGCTGAATGTTTTCTGTTGGCTCATGAATTAGTATCAATTGCTGCAAAGCAAATTATCCCACACCTTAGCAGCTTAAAACCCCAAACATTTATTACCTTAGCAGTTTCTTTTGAGACAGTCTCAGTTCTGTCACCCAGGCTGGAGTGTGCAGTGGTGCAATCTCAGCTCACTGCAACCTCCACCTACCAGATTCAAGAGATTCTCCTGTCTCAGCCTCCCGAGAAGCTGGGATTACAGGTGTGTACCACTACACCTGGCTAATTTTTGTATTTTGAGTAGACACGAGGTTTCACCATGTTGGCCGGGCTGGTCTCGAACTCCAGACCTCAAGTGATCTGTCCACCTCGGCCTCCCAAAATGCTCGGATTACAGGCCTGAGCCACCACGCCAGGCCCTACCTTGCACAGTGTCTGATGGTCAGGAATAAGGTAGTGGGTTAGCTGGAGATCCTGGCTCAGGTCTCTCATGAATCATGCTGAGGGCAGGGTCTGCAGTCATCTGAAGGCTTGGGTGGGTGGGATCTGCCTCCAGGCTCAGTCACAAGCTGTGGTCAGAAAACCTCAGTTCCTTGCCAGATGGGCTCCCCGTAGAGCTGCTAATGACACAGCCGCTGACTTCACCTAAAGCAGGTGATCAGAGAGAGAGAGAATATTAGTTACCTTTGTTTTATAATAAATTACCCCAAAGCATCAAATGGCATTTGTTATCTCACATTTCTGTGGACTAGGAATCTGGGCACGGTTTAGCTGAAGACTCGGAGCTGAGTCTCTCCAAAGGCTACAGTCAGCTTAACTTGAGATTCTTAAGTCTCACCTGGGGTGGATCCCCTTCCACACGCACTCAGGTGGGTGTTGGCCAAAGGTCTCCCTCAATTCTTTCCACACAGGCCTCTTGCTTGGCTAAAGCCAGCAACCAAGATGGAATTTAGAACCTTTAGTTGCCTGATCTCACAAGGGATATATCCCAATACTTTTGCCATATTTGATTAATTAGGATCAAGTCACTTGGTCCAGCATACACTCGAAGGAAGGGTATTACACATGGGCATGGATGCCAGCAGGTGGGAGTCATGGGCCATGAAAAGCTCCCCACTGCAGTGACCAAAACTGAGGTTTCAGTGCCTTTTCTAACCTGGCTTGTTAGGTGAAATGTCATTGTCTCTGCCATATTCTACTGGTTACACAGACCAGCCCTGGAGGTGAATACCAGGGGTGCAGCTCACTGGGTACTATCTTAGAGGCTGCCCACCGTAGCCTGTCCAGATGAATTTCTCCACTTCATCCTGCTCTGCCCCAGAGGCTGACTCACGTGAACCACATTGATGGGCTCCCTCGTTCTCTGACTCCTGATCAGCTGCAGCCAATGGGGAACACTTGTGGAAGAACAGAAGTGGGATGTGAGGTTGGGGTCCTTATTCCCCTAGCTCCTCATTGCAGGCTGGCTGCATCCTCACTTGAGGGCTGCCGCTCCTGCCAGGTGGCACCAAGAGATTCATCTGAACTGAATTTAGTTTCATCTGAACATTAAAACTGAATTTACTGGCCGGGCATGGTGGCTCACATCTGTAGTCCCAGCACTTTGGGTGGCTGAGGCAGGCAGATCACTTGAGGCCAGGAGTTCAAGACCAGCCTGGGCAACATGGCAACATCCCGTCTCTATTAAAAATACAAAAATTAGCTGGGTGTGGTGGCGTGCTCCTATAATCTAGCTACTCAGGAAGCTGAGGCAGGAGAGTTGCTTGAACCCGGGAGGTGGAAGTTCCAGTAAGCCAAGATCAGGCCACTGTATTCCAGCCTTGGTGACAAAGTGAAATTCTGTCTAAAAAACAAAAAAATAAAAATTGAATTTACACAGCAACATTCCGTTGTGAAATAAAAAGTGTATGTAGAACTGTACAAGCAGGCTGTACAAGAGGGTCATTTAAATTCCCAGCTCTGCCTCAGCCCACACCTATAAACTCATAGGATTTCTCTATGTCCAGTTAGTGCAGGATGGAAAAATGGGCCTAGTGTTGACATCTGCATAATATTCTGGTACGTGCCAGACATGAACAACCAGTCTACTCTAGCCTCACTTGGAAGAAGCCCTAAAAAGACAGTGGTGAAGCTGGGCGAGGTGGCTCACACCTGTAACCCCAGCATTTTGGGAGGCTGAGGTGGGCGGATCACTTGAGGTCAGGAGTTCGAGACCAGCCTGGCCAACATGGTGAAACCCCATCTCTACTAAAAGTACAAAAATTAGTTGGGCGTGGTGGCAGGTGCCTGTAATCCCAGCTACTCAGGAGGCTGAGGCAGGAGAATCACTTGAACATGGGAGGCAGAGGTTGTAGTGAGCCAAGATCACACCACTGCACTCCAGCCTGGGCGACAAGAGGGAGACTCCATCTCAAAAAAAAAAAGACAGTGGTGAAGGGAAGTCATCTCAGATGGTGGAACTCTGAGCACTGTGCCTGGTTTTCCACTTCTCAGCTAAGTAGGGATGGCCTGAAGGACCAGGCTGGGAATGGTGGCTCACGCCTGTAATCCCAGCACTTTGGGAGGCCTAGGCGAGTGGATCACCTGAGGTTGGAAGTTCGAGACCAGCCTGACCAACAAGGAGAAACCCCGCCTCTACTAATAATACAAAAATTAGCTAGGCACAGTGGGACATACCTGTAATCCCAGCTACTCAGGAGGCTGAGGCACAAGAATCGCTTGAACCTGGAAGGCGGAGGTTGCAGTGAGCCAAGATTGCACCATTGCACTCCAGCCTACACAGCAAGAGCAAAACTCCATCTCAAAAAAAAAAAAAAAGGACTGATGGACACTGGCTCGAGGGTTGGCCAGTTGATCAGGGACTAAGAAAGAACAAGATTAAAAATTAGGTACAGGAGGTCTGGTGGGGATGTGGATAGACCTTTTTGAATGGGCATTGAATGTGAAGATTTCTTGTCCTCTGCAAACATCCATCAGAAGGCATTCGGTATGGAGGAGGTCTCTGTCACCTGTGGATGTTGGACTTTTCCTCCCAAAACATCTCAGTTCTTGCTCAAAGAGCCCATATGCGAAGTGGCTATAGTAACAGGATAGAGGGTATGCATGTGTTCAGCCTCATGAACTGCCCTTCATCCTGGCTGATCTGGCTGGCCACTGTCACTGTTAGGTGCCCAGCCTGCCAACAGCAGAAGCCAAGTTTGAGAACCTGATAGGCCACGATTCTTTTTTTTTTCTTTTTTCCTTTTTTGAGACAGAGTCTCACTCTGTTGCCCAGGCTGGAGTGCAGTGGTGCAATCTTGGCTCACTGCAACCTCTGCCTCCCTGGTTCAATCAATTCTCCTGTCTCAGCCTCCCGAGTAGCTGGGACTACAGGCGGCCACCACCACACCTGGCTAATTTTTGTACTTTTAGTAGAGACGGGGTTTCACCATATTGGCCAGGCTGGTCTCTAACTCCTGACCTTGTGATCCTCCCGCCTCGGCCTCCCAAAGTGCTGGGATTATAGGCGTGAGCCACCGCATCCAGCCAGGACACGATTCTTTAGGGGGACCAGCTGGCCACTTGACGGCAAGTAAATTACATCAGACTCTTGGAGGAGGCAGCACTATGCCTCCCAGGTATAGACTCTGTCCACATAGGGATGTGCCTTCTCTGCCTGCAGCACCCACATCTATGGACTTATAGAAGGCTGCATGTGTCTTTACGGTATACAGCATCTCTCACCCTGGGACATATTTTTAGTAAAGAAAGTGTGACAGTGAGCTCATACCTATGGAATTAATTCGTGGTCTAACCATGTGCTTTGTGTTAGATTATTATATAAAGTAATCAGACATGCTCCTGTGAACCCAGAAAATCAGAGACAGGTCTCAGTTAATTTAGAAAGTTTATTTTGCCAAGGTTAAGGGTGCATCCATGACACAGCCTCAGGAAGTCCTGATGACATGTGCCCAAGGTGGTGGGGTACAGCTTGCTTTTATACGTTTTAGGGAGACATGAGACATCAATCAATAGAAGAATTACATTGGTTAGGTCTGGAAAGGCAGGAGAATTTGAAGCAAAGGCAGGAAGACTCGAAGCACGGAGGGGTATTCCAGGTCACAGATAAGTGAGACACAAACGGTTGCATTCTTTTGAGTTTCTGATTACCGTTTCCAAAGCAGGCAAGTAAGATGTGCATATATCTCAGTGAGCAGAGGGATAACTTCGAATAGAATGAGAGGCAGGTTTGGCTTCATAGTATAGGGGGGGGCAGTGTTCCAGCTTGGGGGGGGGGGGGGGGAGACATTGCTAAAGTGAATTCAAAAAAAAAAAAAACAGCGGGAGGTTTTCCTTCATAGCAAGAATGACCGAGAATATCTATCGGATATCGTGGCCAAAAATCTTCAAAAAAAAAAAAAAAAAAAAAAAAAAAAAAAAAAAAAAAAAAAATCGGTCCAAAATATTTTCTTTTCACACTCCCCTCTCCCATACAAAAGGAATATACTTCCCTGCTTCATTTCTGCTGGGCTTAGCCATGTGCATTTACTTTGGCCATAGGATATTGGCAGGTCTGATGCAAGCAAAGGTTTACAATGTGTTTGTGCAGTTGAACTTGTGTTTTTGCTTCTGCCATTATTAGGGAAGCTGGGGCCTGGGAAGGCCAGAGTGACACCATTTTCAGTTCAGCTCCATCTTGAGACTAAGGCACATTCCTTGCCAGTCATGACCCATGGTCATAAGATGTTTACAGTCGAGAAAACAGCCTAAAGATACCTGCAAGGACACAATCCTGTAACAACAGAACGACCAGATGTCCCAATACTCGCAATATATGCTTTCAAGATAATTATAGTTATGCTTACTTACACACTAAAATGTCAAAGACAGTTTTCTTTACATCAACAAAATAATAAATTTTGTCATGCTGTCAGCCCACATGCACATAGGTACAACCTTTACATAGACAAAACCCCTATATAAGAAAAAGTTAAAACAGGTGGGGCGCAGTGGCCCAGCAGTTTGGGAGGCCGAGGCGGGTGGATCACCTGGGGTCAGGAGTTTGAGACCAGCCTGGCCAACATGGCCAAGCCCTGTCTCTACTAAAACTACAAAAATTCGCCGGGCATGGTGGCAGGCGCCTGTAATCCCAGCTACTCAGGAGGCTGAGGCAGGAGAATCACTTGAACCCAGGAGGCAGAGGTTGCAAACCGAGATTGCACCAGTGCACTCCAGCCTGGGCAAAAGAGCAAGAGTCCCTCTCAAAAAACAAAACAAAACAAAACAAAAAACAAAAAGAAGGAAAGAAAAAGTTAAAACAAAGATGGGGCATTCCTTTGCTTGCTTCCTGAGGATACCCTACTCTAATGGAGGAGCTTTCAATAAACTCTCACTGCACCCTGCAACTTGTCTTGAATTCCTTCCTGCGTATAATTCAGGAGCCCTCTCTTGGGGTCTGGATCAAGACCGCTTTTTCTGTGAACAATCACCATGAGAAGAACACGCCCTGACTGACCCACTGGTCCAAGGAAGGTGAGAGACATGGAGAAGACAGGGACCAGTCTTCAGCTTGAGGACACGTCCAGCTGAACTCAGCCCACATCAGTGACCTGCAGATGCATGAGAGAGAATAAACGATTGTTGGGTTAGGCCTCTGAGTTTGGGAGGCATTTTGTTACACCTCTTTTTTTTTTTTTTTTTTTTTTTGAGACGGGGTCTCGCTCTGTCACCCAGGCTGGAGTGCAGTGGCCGGATCTCAGCTCACTGCAAGCTCCGCCTCCCGGGTTCACGCCATTCTCCTGCCTCAGCCTCCTGAGTAGCTGGGACTACAGGCGCCCACCACCTCGCCCGGCTAGTTTTTTGCATTTTTTAGTAGAGACGGGGTTTCACCGGGTTCGCCAGGATGGTCTCGATCTCCTGACCTTGTGATCCGCCTCTTTATTGTGGCAATAGTAGACTAATACATGCTCTATTATCCAGAAGTGTGTGGCCTAAAATAATAGTTGAATGGCCAGGTGCGGTGGCTTAGGCCTTTGGGAGGCCACGGTGGGAGGATCACATGAGGCCAGGAGTTCAAGAGCAGCCTGGGCAACATAGTGCGACCCCCGTCTCCACAAATTTTTTTTTTAAATTAGCCTGGCATGGTGGGCGCACGCCTATAGTCCCAGCTACTCGGGACGGCCAGAATGAACAGCATTGTTCGTGTCTCTTCATTCCGATTCTGGCCAGCAAGGGGCGGCCTCCCGCTGCGGTCCTTGCTGTTAGGTCTCCGCGCCCACTCATATTTGCGCTCAAGGTCGCTTCACCGGCTCCCACTTCGCTCTTCCAGGCGCAGGATGAGCGTCTCTGTTCTTTTAATGTGGCGTCCCCCACAGGCCACCGTACCTGGGCGCCGGCTCGAGGTTAGGGTACTTGACGCCTGCGCCGCCATGTTGTCTCCGGGCCACTTCCGCGTTTCAGGCGCGTTGTGCTGTATTTCTTACTTGGTCCTGCCCGCGGCGCCGCGCCTTTGGCTGTTGGGGAGTCTGGGATGGTGGGGAGTCCGGGGCTCGCCCTAGTCGCGGGGACACTGCCTTCCAGGAGCTGTCCTCAGGCAAACTCACAGACATCTTCAAAGAGCCTTCCTGGACATTCTGCTTTTTGCTCCTCAAAACAGGCTTCGGAAAGAGAACAGGCAAACATCTCTGCGAGCGCCCCTAGGGCTCCGTTCCCTGTCCCAAGACCGGGAATCGGGGAGGGGGTCCAAGCCGAGTGCACTTAATTAACAAATCAATGAAACAGTTGGAAAATCTCAGTAATATTTTACATGAGATCGAGGGCGGTGACTCACGCCTGTAGTCCCAGCACTTTGGGAGGCCGAGGCGGAGGTGGAGGGTCGCTTGAGGCCAGGAGTTCGAGACCAGCCTGGGCAACATGGTGAGCTTCCCCTCGCCCCCACCCCTCTACAAAAATTACAAAAATTAGCCGGGCTGATTGGCATGGGATTGTGGTCCTAACTACTTAGGAGGCTGAGGTGGGAGGATCGCTTGAGCCAGGGATGTCGAGGCTGCAGTGAACTGTGATCACACCACTGCACTCCAGCCTGGGGCTACAGAGAGAAACCCTGTCTCTAATTAATAAATAAATTATAGATAGATGATAGATGCAATAAAAAATAAAATTGGCTTGTAAATGGCAAACTAAAAGTGGGAATTATCATTACGATGAAACTATTAATTTGAGGAACCGAAAACTTAACTTTCCTTTTCCTGTAGTTAAGTTTAGGCACTGAGATTTGCTTCAGTGATTCCCAGGCTGCTTCGTTATTGCAAGCTGCTTCCTTGTAAGCACTTTGTCTCTCACTAAAAAAATTACAATTATTTTAAAGTCCCCCTGGATGCTCACTCTTTAAGGAGGGTGAACAATGGTAACTCCTGTACAGTTAGAGCTCTGAATGAAGCAGAGAGATGCATTCCATAGATCACAGAACTCATTTTCTGGCTTGGTGAGCCTGGTCAAGTTTCTTAACCTTTCTAAGCCACAGATGTTTCAATTGTAAAGTGATAATAAACCGTAGGGCCTTCCCACAGCCCCAGATCTCAGCAAATTACCAGTCTTTTGTTTCAAGCTATTAAATGGGTGCTGTCTGACAGCCCTCCCTTGACACCTACACTCTTGTGCTTTGGCATCCATCCTTTCCCTCTAGTGCAATGCAAGTCGCATCCTCCCTCTGGCTAGCCTCTCCACCTATCTTCTGGATCCCCCACAGCTCTCCGATCTAATCTCCACACTCCAGCCAGGGCGAACACTTTGAATGAAATGAACAGTCATTTCATTCTCTATCTAGCAACCTTTTCCATGGACTTACTTTTGCTCTCAGGGTTCACCTCAACATCCTTACAGGCTTACCAGGCTGTGTATGCTCTGGCTTGCCACTGCTTCTTATTTTTATTTTTCTTCTTCTTTTTTTTTTTTTTTTTTGAGACAGAATTTTGCTCTTGTTGCCCAGGCTGGAGTGCAATGGAGCAATCTCGGCTCACCGCAACCTCTGCCTCCCAGGTTCAAGTGATTCTCCTACCTCAGCCTCCGGAGTAGCTGGGATTACAGGCATGCACCACCATGCTGGCTAATTTTGTATTTTTAGTGGAGACGGGGTTTCTCCATGTTGGTCAGGCTGGTCTCAAACACTTGACCTCAGCTGATCCACCCACCTCGGCCTCCCAAAGTACTGGGATTACAAGTGTGAGCCACCAGGCCCAGCTATTTTTTTTTTTAAATTCTTTTGGGACAGGGGTGATCCTCCCACCTCAGCCTCAAAAGTAGCTGGGACTACACGCACACACCATCACACCTGGCTGATTTTTTCTTTCTTTCTTTTTTTTTTTTTTTGTAGAGACAGGGTTTGGGGAGTTTTGCCCTGTTGCCCAGGTTGGTCTCGAACTCCTGGGCTCAAGGGATGCGCGCACCTTAACCTCCCAAAGTCTTGGGATTACAGGCGTGAGCCACTGCGCCCAGCCCTATTGCTTTTTAAAGGTACAATTAACTTTAGCCCAGGCTAGCTGCTTCACGGAATTGATCTGGGTATGATGTGGGATTTGGGATAGCTGTTAAGAAAGGTGAAGACAGAGTCAAATAGAGAAGAACATTTTCTCTATAGAGGTGGGGAAACTTTCAAAGCAGAATTAATTGTGTCCTCTAAAAGCAATGAAGTCCTCTTGGTTAGCTTGAAGAACGATCTTGTATCAGTTTATAGAAATTCAGACTTTTTTTTTTTTTTTTTTTTGAAACGAAGTCTCACTCTGTCCCCCAGGCTGGAGTGCAATGGCATGATCTCGGCTCACTGCAACCTCCACCTCCCAGGTTCAAGCAATTCTCCTGCCTCAGCCTCCCGAGTAGCTGGGATTACAGGTGTCTGCCACCATGCTCGGCTAATTTTTGTATTTTTAGTAGAGACGGGGTTTTTCCATGTTGGCCAGGCTGGTCTCGAACTCCTGACCTCAAGTGATCCACTTGCCTTGGCCCCCCAAAGTGCTGGGATTACAGGTGTTAGCCACCGTGCCCAGCTGGAATTGAGAGTCTTAAGGGGTCTCTGGGGGTCTCAGAAGCTCAGCTGATGATATTTTAGTTAATCAGGTTTGGGTTTTTGTTTTGTTTTGTTTTGTTTTTTGCTGTTAGGTCATAAAAATATTTTCACCCCAAGCCACAAAATCCTATAAAATAGCTCATTCTTGGACAAATTCAGTAAATATAAAAGAGCCCTTTTGAGTTTCTATTTACTCAAGATGTTTGCAGTGATAAAATCTTGATGTAAATTTTCTAGAACTTTCAAAGCTCCTTTAGAAACAGTCCTTTGTGTTGTTTTTATTAAACTCTTCGATGAGCACAAAGTTTTTATGTTTTTCACACAAAATTTAAATAAGGAAGCCGAAGGTAGGTGGGAACCCCCAAATGGATGGTAACAGAAAACCTCCGATAGCATTTCCATAGATTGGTTTATTCATTATGCAGCTTGGCTCAGCAGAACCATTTTATAATGAAACTGCAAGATGACTCCCAGTGGGCAAATCAACCTCTATTCTAAAGGTTGATTCTTATCAACTGGGAGAATTGATTCCTGATGAGAAATGCTAGACAAAAAACCCTCGCACGTTCACTCTACAAGCCAGATCCAATATCTTTAATCCTCTCATGGAAAAGAAACAAGGAGACATTTCAGGGCTTACAACAGCCTTCCAGAATAATTGCAACAGTCTCGGCATCAGGGGCCAAAGGAATATTGACATCTTTCCAACTGGAAGTCATAAACAGGTTATCTGGAGTGAGACAATCTATATTTTAAACTTGGCCAGAGCACCTTGGATTTTGGAATTTTTTTTTTTTTTAACGGAGTCTTGCTTTGTCGCCCAGGCTGGAGTGCAGTGATGTGACCTTGGCTCACTGCAACCTCCGCCTCCTGGGTTCAAGCGATTCTCCTGCCTCAGCCTCCCCTGTAGCTGGGACTACAGGCATGCGCCACCATGCCTGGCTAATATTTTTGTACTTTTAGTAGAGATGGGGTTTCACCATGTTGATCAGGCTGGTCTCCAACTCCTGACCTCAAATGATCCATCCATCTCAGCCTCCCAAAATGCTGGGATTACAGGCATGAGCCACCGTGCTAGGCCAGCACCTTGGATTTTTAACCACCATCCTAGATCAGTAAGTTTAAATTTCTCTCCATATTAAAATTTTCCTTCCTCATATTTATTAACACATTACTATTTGATTAATACAAATTATTTGTTAATACAAATACATTCTATTTGATTCACGTTTTGAAGCAAAATTCCTGATAATTTTAAAATTGTGAGAGTTATTTCTTTCTATGCATCTTATTGCTAAGGTCATCTTAGCTGATAATTAATTGGACAATATGGTGGTAAATCCATACTGGTCTTTGACTCTGAAAACAGTCTTTCAAATTCCACTGGTCCTTTCCACTATTTTGACACGACTTTAAGTTGTTACCCAGACTCTTCTGAGGGCAAAGAATATGTGTGTGCATATAAATGGCCTAACAAAACACACCACTCTGTCTGTAGCAACAGGAAGTCCCCCAAGAGGACAATGTGAAGAGCTGCGGTTGCTGCTCTAGGGAGAAGCTTGTGGGCTTGGGTGAGTCTCAGTTTGGGAGGCTTTGTGACTTAAGCAGGAAAAATATTAACTCAAATTACTCCTTCTGGCCTAAAAATCATTTCTATTTTTTATTGTTTAATTTTTGAAATAGAAAATGTGTCCATATGGTTCAGTATTTTTAATTTTAAAACTATGAAAAGATAATTCAATATTTAAAGGTCTCACTCCTCATAACAACTTTCACTAGTCTCTTTTTTTTTTTTTTTTTTGAGACGGAGTCTCACTCTGTCGCCCAGGCTGGAGTGCAGGGGTATGATCTGAGCTCACTGCAAACCTCCGCCTCCTGGGTTCAAGCGATTCTCTGCCTCAGCCTCCCGAGTAGCTGGGATTGCAGGCATCCACCACCACACCCAGCTAATTTTTATATTTTTGGTAGAGACAGGGTTTCACCATGTTGGCCAGACTGGTCTCGAACTCCTGACCTCGTGATCCACCCACCTCAGCCTCCCAAAGTGCTGGGATTACAGGCATGAGCCGCCATGCACGCCCTACTAGTCTCTTTTTTATATCTAGAGATTCTTGTTGAAAATATGACTATATTCCTCTCAATCTACCTCCTTTATTCCTTCCTTCCTTTCCTTAAAACAGCTTTTTTTTGGTTTTGTTTTGTTTTAGGCATAAATAATATACAACAGCCTGAGCACTGTGGCTCATGCCTGTAATACCAGCACTTTGGGAGACTGAGGCAGGCGGATCACCTGAGATCAGGAGTTCAAGACCAGCCTGGCCAACACGGTAAAACCCCGTCTCTACTGAAAATACAAAAATTAGCTGGGCATGGTGATGCATGCCTGTAATCCCAGCTACTCAGGAGGCTGAGGCAGGAGAATCTCTTGAACCCAGGAGTTGGAGGTTGCAGTGAGCCAAGATGGTGCCCCTGCACTCCAGCCTGGGCAACAAAGTGAGACCCTATCTCAAAAGGAAAAAAAAATATATGACAAAGTGCACACATTTAAAATGTGCAATTTGATATGTTTTAACTTATATGTATACCTGTGAAACCATCACCACAATTGGGGATAGGGAACAAATCCATCACCCCAAAAAGTTTTCTAATGTATTTCCCTAGTGACTAATGATGTTGAGCATCTTCTCATGTGCTTTTTTGCCTTACCTATATCTTCTGTGTTGAAGTGTCTGTTCAGATCTTTTGTGAGGACAAAGTACGGTTCCAGGTAGGGATCCGAGTTCATTTTTTCGCATGTGAATATCAAATGTCCCGGCACCATTTATTGAGAAGGCCATCCTTTCTCCACCTCATCGCTTTTGTAACCTTGTTCAGTATCAGTTGTCCACTGATGTATGGATTTATTTATGGACTCTATTAGGTTCCATTGATCTACCTGCTCTCTTTAAGCCAATTACTATGCTGTTTTGATTGCTGTAGCTTTATAACAGTTTCCTCTTTTTTGGCCCTAATTTCACATTTATTTTATTTTTAAAATTTTGACTTGTATTATAGATTAAAGGGTATATGTGCAGCTTTGTGGCATGGGTAAATCGGATGACTCTGAGGCTTGAGGTCCCAACGATCCTGTCCCCCAGGCAGTCAGCATAGTACTTAACAAGTGGTTCTTCAGCCCATGCCAGTAACAACTTTCAAAATCAAGTCGTGTTCTTCCTCCAACTTGTTTTTCTTCTGCAGAGTTATTTTGGCTATTTTAGGTCCTTTGCATTTCCAGATGAATTTTAGAATCAAATTATCAATTTTTACCAAAAAAAAATCTCATGGGATTTCAACTGGAATTGCATTGACTCTACACATCAATTTAATCGCCTCCTCTTTTTTCTTTTTTATATGAAAGGTTGTCACCACATACACAGTTCTGTACCTGACTCTTCACACTCCACAATGAATGGAGATCTTTTATTCTTCTCCCTTAGCTCCCATTATAGTTTCATTGTATCCTGTTATTGGGATGGAACTTATTTCATTTAACTGTAGTTAAACTGATGGATTGCTAGCTTACTGCCTGCCAATATTTTGATTATACAATCACTGTACATGTCATTTCCATTGTGGGCAAATATATCTGCAAGATGAATTTGAGAAGTGTGATTGCCAAGTCAAAGGGAATATACACTTAAAATTTTAATGGCAAGGACTGAGCGTGGTGGCTCACACCTGTAATCCCAACACTTTGGCAATCTGAGGCGGGCGGATCACAAGGTCAGGAGATCGAGACCATCCTGGCTAACATGGTGAAACCCCATCTCTACTAAAAAAAAAAATACAAAAAATTAGCTGGGAGTGGTGGCACGTGCCTGTAGTCCCAGCTACTCGGGAGGCTGAGGCAGGAGAATAGCTTGAACCTGGGAGGCGGAGGTTGCAGTGAGCTGAGATTGCACCACTGCACTCCAGCCTAGGTGACAGAGCTAAACTCTGTCTCAAAAAAAAAATAATGGTTATGGCTAAATTGCCTTTCCTAGAGTTTCAATTTATATACTTTTCAGTAATAAATTAGAAGGCTTGTTTTGCCACAGCCTTAACAGTGCATTACCAAACTTTCTTGTTTTTGCCAAATTAATAGGTGAAGATGGCTTGTCAAAATCATTTTGATTTGCACTGCTTTATTTCGGGTAAGTTTAAAGATCGTTTCATGTGTTTAAGAGCCATTTGTATTTCTTTTTTTTTGAGACAGAGTCTAGCTCTATTGCCCAAGCTGGAGTGCAGTGGTGCAATCTCAATTCACTGCAACCTCCACCTCCCAGGTTCAAGTTATTCTCCTGCCTCAGCCTCCCTAGTAGCTGGGACTACAGTTGCACACCCAGTTAATTTTTGTATTTTTAATGGAGACGGGTTTTCACCATGTTAGCCTGGCTGGTCTCGAACTCCTGGCCTCAAGTAATATGCCCACCTCGACCTCCCAAAGTGCTGGGATTACAGGGATGAGCCACCGTACCCCGCCCCATTTGTATTTCTTTTTCTCTGACTTTTTTTTTTTTTCACAACCTTGACTGCTATGGTCTGAAGGTTTGTGCCCCCTTAAAATTCATATGCTGAAATGCTAACCTCCAAGGTGATATTAGGAGGTGGAGACGTTCAGAGGTGATTAAATCAGGAGGGATTATGTCTTTATAAAATAGTCCTGAAGGAGCTTGTTGGCCCCTTCCACCATGTAAAGACAGAGTCAGAAGGCACTATTTGCGAACCAGAAAGCATTTCCTCAGCAGGCACCAAATCTGTCAATCCCTTGACCTAAGACTTCTAGCTTCTGCCAGAACTGTGAGAAAAAATTTCTGTTGCTTATATAAACCATACAGTTTGTGGTATTTTGTCACAGCAGCCTGAACTAAGACTTGCACACTTTTTCTCCATTTTGCCATTTGTCTTTGCTTATACCTTTTTTTCTTTTTCTTTTTTTTTGCCATAATGGGGGTTTTAAAAATATTGACGTATTTGAAATTATTAGCCTTTCCTTTGAGGCTTTAGATTTTTAGTCTTAATTAGAAAGTCTTTCCCCACTCCGGTATTTGAATTTCCTCGTGATTTTCTTCAAGTACTTTTATGAGTTTTTTTTTGTTTTACATTTAAATCTCTTTATTATTTGGAGTCTATTCTACTACAGTGCATGATATCTAATTTGTTTCCCTCTTGTCTCAACACCATCCATTTAAAAGCCCATCTTTCCCCCACCCACCTTTGATGCCACTTTATATAGTAAATGTTCACGTGTTTGTGTCTATTTCTGGATTTTCTATTCTGTTCCGTGGAATGTCTGTGTCATCATGCATCAGAACCATACCACTGAAACTGTTTTTCAAATTACAATATGGCGTAATATCTGGTAGGAGTAGTCTCACCTCATTGCTTACAGTTTTCTGACATTAATTTTTCCATATGAACTTTTGAATCAGCCTGTCTATTACAGGAAACTGTTGGCATTTTTATGAGGAATATATGCCATTTTTAAATTATTGTAGGGAGAATCAACCCTTTCTAGTATGATGTGTTTTTTTTTTTCTTTTTGTTTTTTTTTTCTTTGACACAGAGTCTTACTTTGTCACCCAGGCTGGAGTGCGGTGATGCAATCTCGGCTCACCACAACCTCTGCCTCCTGGGTTCAAACGATTCTCCTGCCTCAGCCTCCCAGGTAGCTGGGATTACAGGTACATGCCACCACCCCTGGCTCATTTTTGTATTTTTAGTAGAGATGGGATTTCGCCATGTTGGCCAGGCTGGTCTCCAACTCCTGGCCTCAGGTGATCCGCCTACCTCAGCCTCCCATAGTGCTGGGATTACAGGCATAAGCCACCGCACCCAGCCTCAATTTTGATGACTTTCCCTGATGACTAATGATGTTGAGCATATTTTCATATGCTTATTGACCATTTATATCTCTTTTTTTTTTTTTTTTTTTGAGGTGGAGTTTCTCTCTTGTTTTCTAGGCTGGAGTGCAGTGGCTTGATCTCGGCTCACTGCAGCCTCCACCTTCCAGGTTCAAGCAATTCTCCTGTCTCAGCCTCCCGAGTAGCTGGGATTACAGGCACACGCCACCATTCCCAGCTAATTTTTGTATTTTTAGTAGAGACAGTGTTACATCATATTGGTCAGGCTGGTCTCAAACCCTGGACCTCAGGTGATCTGCCTTGGCCTCCCAAAGTGTTGGGATTACAGGCGTGAGCTACCCACTGTGCCCGGCTATATCTCTTCTTTGGAGAAATATCTAATCAAGAAAATCATTTTTGCTGTTTCTTTTTGTTTGTTTTTTTCTCTGAGATGGAGTGTCACTCTTGTTGCCCAGCCTGGAGTACAATGGCGTGATCTCGGCTCACTTCAAACTCTGCCTCCTGGGTTCAAGTGATTCTCGTGCCTCAGCCTCCCAAGTAGCTGGGATTACAGGCGTGCACCACCATGCCCTGCTAATTTTTATTTTTAGTAGAGATGGGTTTCTCCATGTTGGTCAGGCTGGTCTCGAACTCCTGGCCTCAGGTGATCCGCCCGCCCAGGCCTCCCAAAGTGCTGGGATTACAGGCGTGAACCACCGCGCCCGGCCTTTACTGTATTTTTTAGCAGAAAGAAAATGATTGCATTACAGTGGTTATTTTTAAGGGCCCCAACCTCCACTTTGTCCTGAGATCTACGTTGTATTGTTTTCAGTGTTTTGACAGGCCTTTTCATTTTTATAAATGCCCCAGAAGTTATAGTGCAGCCCTAACTTTCTAGCAGGACTCTTAGGAGCTGACGGTTTTCCTAAGTTTCATTCACATCACATGAAGGCAGCAATTGTTAAAATATATTTCGATTCCATTAGGGTACATTTTGCTATCACATTGAAGTCTCTCAAGAATCATTTTATTCCCATCAGATGTTGTTACTGAGCAGTTTCTGGTGCTGAACATGAGTAAGAACCTTTAGGTGGTGCTCTTTGATTGAAAACATTTATCCCTCAAACAACTTAAATACAGAAGTATATTGCAGGAAAAAGTGACTTTTATTTTTTTAGGGATGATCTCCCAGGTTTACTTGATTTTCCTGCCATTTATATTGCAGAGGCTAGTAATTTGCCCATCTCCTCCAACCCCAAGCACCTCAAGACTGATATTTTTCTATCACCTGCTGCTAATTATGCCTCCCAAAGAGTCTCCCATCTCTGACGCAGAGAGAACCTTCTTAGTGGGGTCATGGCTTCCCTTGCATCCAAGAGCTGTCTGTCCCACAGCCTGGTCAGACTCCCGCAGCCTCAAACCCCAGGTCTCCCATCCACTTCCTTACTCACTCCTCTTTGCTCATT